TAGTATTGTTACTACTACAACATGACCAACATCATGAGAGATTTACTGTAGTAGTATTGTTACTACTACAACATGACCAACATCATGAGAGGTTTACTGTAGTAGTATTGTTACTACCACTAGAAGAACAACATCATGAGAGGTAACTTGTAATAGTATTGCAGACATATTTTGGAATTTTCAAAAGAAGCTTAGTTTAAGAAACACCCGTTGTAACGAACTTAATAATGTTACGTCTTAAAAAAAGTGGATTATCTATGTGACAGCAGTCATTTCAGCTACTTTTATATTCATTTTGACTGCAGTGTCGGGCATATTTAAAACAGATTGATATAAAAATATGTCTGTGTTAACGAAAATTTTTAGGAGTTAATGTATTTTCCATCCATAACTGCATAAGGTAATCAAGATTTGAATCAAACACTCACTTTCTGTAAAACCCTTTTTGTTTTTGTCTTTTCAACCCAAATAAGAAATACTAGTTTATTTTCAGGTAACATCACACGTTGTAGGCGTAGCTATTTCAGGTAACATCCCATATTAGCGACGTAGTTGCTTTAGGTAGCACCAGGAGCGTTGCTGGAAACCGGTCCACAGGACACGTGTCCCGGATGTGTTTCACAATGCTCCGAATCTATCTATTTTACGAAAACTGTATTACATTGAAATTATGTTTAATTATTTTGAGTAGTAGCTGCTTTTTGGGGCTCAAACCCCGAAAATTTTCGGCAGATAACAATACCTTTGTGTAGCATCTCATGTTATTAATGTAATTATTTTAGATAGCATATTATCGATGTACCAGCTTCAAGTAATATCACATGTTATAGACGTAATGGAGACGATCATCTTAGTATTCAGTTGGTCACAACACTGTTATGAGGTATTTACTATTTCGATACCAGGTTCTGTCTAATACATACAGACAAAAGCAACTTATTTTGAATACGAATGTTAAAGATACAGATATACGCGTATTTCTGTGTAGATAGCAGCACCTTTTTAACGATCTAATCAAATCTTCATAACTCACTCGTCCGCTTAATTTGATCTGTTATTACCCTCTGATATTTCTTTCAAACACTTATTTACATTTTAAGTCATTTGTTTGTTTAATTTCGCGCAAGTACTCGAGTGCTATCTGCTCTAGCTGTTCCTAATTTTGAAGTGATAGACTAGAGGGTTTGGTTTGGTTTCTTTGGAATTTCGCGCAAAGCTACACGAGGGCTATCTGAGCTAGCCGTCACTAATTTAGCAGTGTAAGACTAGAGGGAAGGCAGCTAGTCATCACCACCCACCACAAGCTCTTGGGCTACTCTTTCACCAACGAATAGTGGGATTGACCGTCACATTATGACGCTCACACGGCTGAAAGGGCGAGCATGTTTGGTGGGACGGGGATTCGAACCCACGACCCTCAGATTGCGAGTCGAGAACCCCAACCGCCTGGCCATGCCGGGCCTAAACTAGAGGTCACCACTCCTACGGTTGAAAGAGCGAGCCTGTCCGGTGACGAGTTTCGATTTCGCTACCCGCAGATTGCGAGTCAAGTGCCCTAACCACCAGTCCAAGCCAGGCCCTTTTAAGTCAAACGCTTATAGGATAACTTTCATAAAGCATAATTTCAGTACGTTCGAAATTATATCAAAGTAAGACTTACACATACACAAATATATATATATATAAGAATGGGGAACTTTTTAACTTGAACATGTTAGCTTCAACCTAACATTAACAAATATTTATTGCAGTTGGTGAGTACCAGTTTTCAGACATTGAGTAATACATGTACTTATTTGTTGTTCATGGGCCTATATAGGCCTAGCTGAAGTCCCATTCACATTTTTTCAATTTTTTGTATTAATTGGAAACACCATTCTTCTTTTTTTTGTTATTTCAATGTCATTTTTAAAACTGGTGGAAGTCTCATGTGATTCCATTGTGTAGCTATAGTTGCATGTTTAACATAGGGATGCCCCCAGTGGCACAGCGGTATGTCTGCGGACTTACAACGCTAGAAACCGGGTTTCGATACCCGTGGTGGGCAGAGCACAGATAGCCCATTGTGTAGCTTTGTGATTAATTCCAAACAAACAAATATAGCTATAGTTGTCGTTCAATACGGTATGTATTTTCAACAGATTGGATACTTGAAAATTCATTATATTTAGTCATACACAAAATAATTTCAGCAAGTATACCGAAAATCACATAAAACTCGTGTACTTGAAATATGAGTTTCTTTAACAAACCAACAGGTGGTATAGGAAAAAAACATAACATTTTTCGTTACTTCTTCTACCATTATTTTAATCAATTCATGAAGATTTTAAACCATTTATAATTTGCCCAGCAGGCGTGAAAAACACTGGCATTGTGTTTATCACTTTTGTACTGTGCAGTTGGAAACAGATATATAAGTCTGCCACCAGAAAACGTAAATCAAAATATTTCACACACCTAATAAAATTCTATAATAATAATAATAATATTCAACTTGAAGATTTTTATCAATGAAATACATCTCAATAATTATTTTTACGATTTGGTGGCAGTGGTTTCTTGTTGCATTTCTTTAAATCATTTTTAACTTTTGGCATTTCATTAATCTTCTTTATATTCTTACACCTTACCATTAAATTTCTTCCATGCTATATGAGGACGAGGATAACCACCAACGTCACAATGCAAGAATGCTTGTTTTCCTAAAATGGCGTTGACATTGACTGGCTGACTTTTCCAATATGGAGGAGCTACCATATCAGTGAAGATAATGCAAAAAAGTAGATTAACAAAATTTCTCGTAAAGAGAAAACAGATTTTCAACTTTACAAACCATTATCTTTTGAATTCAATATTAGATCTAAAGTCTATAAAATCGTACATTGCAGATGTGTGATAATTCTTAATGAATCTTTACGTGTGAAAGGTGCAATTGATTTCAATCGTAACTTTTGAAAATGGATTATTGGATCCCTTGTAAATTAAAAAACAAAGAAAAACAACAGCAACAAAAAACAACGTGTCCGTGTAGGCTTTACAGTAGAAATGTGTTTTTTCAAGCAATTAAAACTCCTACATTTCAGTCCATGGGAGCAGACCATCTTCAGGCAATTCATAATTAACAACACTTATAAGTTCCATGTGTAAAGAAAAAAACACATTTCCACTGTAAAGCTGATCATGATATTAAATCTAATCATCCAGTTGTATTATCAGCTCTTAATGCTATTTTTGAAGAATTACTAAGACTAGCAACGACTTGCATAATATTTTCGATCAAATTGGTATCTTTATTGCAACAGTACTTATTTAAATACAGGATTTCTAGAGTAATACAAAATAATTTTAATCGCAAACAGTGAAATCTACAAGTCCACTTGTCTTAGGCCTAACATTAGTTAACCCTTTATTATGTACTGTCTATATTCGATAAAGAGATAAATTAACACTGTAACTTGTGTACATTTTATGCTTTCGTTTAATTAGGACTAAACTTTACCGTACTTGATACTATGAATAAATAAACTTATTATTCTACAGCCTAACGTTATACATTTTTAAAAGCTTTGATAAGCTTTTAATATGTTGTACAAAATGTCTGCTAAAACATAATTACACCCGCCCTTTTGTTTACATCCGTTGAAATGAAGTGCACGCGCATTTTCAGGGCAGACAAAACTGAGTATTATTATAACAGATGAAGACAGCTTATTAACAACACCAAATATACACTATCAACTATAAAATTTAGGATTCTGCCGCCTTGAAACTGAAAAAAAACAAGGTTAACAAATTACCTAATTCCTTATATAACACTCTAATACTTATACTTTTAGCCTTTTTAATGAAATATATATAAACAGCAATTTTGAGAAGTGGAGAATACTTTGCCTTGAAGATGATTAAATGTGTTTGTTGTTTGTATTCACTTTGTAAAACTATCAGAAAAACAATTCAGTAATTCCTATACTAAGCTCGTGTAGACTCTAGATTAACAATCATGACGTATTTATACGATGTCTGGGATGTAACATTTATTAGCTTAAAACATGAACGTAAAATGAAACTTCATTGTGTTTTTAAATTTATGTTAATTTGTGCACTTTGAAACTAAAGATCATAAACATCACGAGAACAAAGTTATTTAATAAATAAAACCCTAAAAAGGTTTGTTTTGTTGAAATTCGCGCAAAGCTACTAGAGGGCTATCTGCGCTAGTCTTCCTCATTTTGAAGTGATAAAATAGAGGGAAGTCAACTAGTGAATACCACTCACCTTCAACGCTTGAGGTACTGTAATCGAATAGTGGAATTGACCACAACATTGTAACGCCCCTACGGTTGAAAATCCGGGCATGTAAGGTGATGGGATTCGAACCCACGATCCACAGATTGCGAATCGAGCACCACAACCACCAGGAATTGCAAGACCTCTTAAGAAGTAATTGAATTGCCAACCTTCGACCAGAAGTTGGACTGTGAAAGTATTTTTTCCAGCAACAATAGTTTTCAGAAATTTCAGATGTTAAGTGCCTGGATCCTAAGCCTACCTACGAACTCATCAGTGATCTTAAGTCTAATGTTACTTCCAGAGTACGGTTCCTCACTATTCTTTGACCAGAAAAAAAATAAACGGAGGTTTTCCGTGACTCACGGTACATAACACTTGAAGTCAAGATCGGAGGCAGGTGTTTTGGGAAAGAACATAAGCTGTATTCTTTATTTTTCTGCACCATCACGTTAATGAATCATGACTCAAAATTGAAAATTTCAATACGAAAGTCTTTAGTCCTGAATCAATAGAATATTTTAGTTAGAACGACAGGCATTGTTTAGTATTTTAGTGCACGACCATTATCGAAATAGAATATCTATTTGTAAGTTTAGTCTTCAAGATGCTTTATGTTGATATGATAAATCCCAGGAAATAAAGAATTTCTCAAAATGAGGGAAGTTCATAACAAACTTATGTTTAAGCTCTTTTTCTTTTGAATAATTTGTTTTTTCTCAGTTGGTCTCATTACGCTACCTTAAAACGATAAGAAAATATATGAACTTTTTCTTTAATACTTGGAAGATCTACAAAAAAAACAAAAAAACCCATCACGTCTAGAAGTTGAAAGACATAATTAACAGAAGGTTCAGTACGCTTCAAGAAGAAGTGTATGGTCAAATTGCCTTAATTAGCAGCTTTATTCAACACTTAAAGAAGAGCTGAACAGATAACCTACATTAATTAGCAGCTTTATTCAACAAACTTAAATAAGAGCTGAACGGAAACCTTACATTAATTAGCAGCTTTATTCAACAAATTTACGTGTGTTAAATAATGCTGCTAATTAAGGCAGGTTGTCCATTCAGCTCTTCTTTAAGTGTGTTGAATAAGCTGCTAATTAAGGTAGATTGTCCGTTCAGCTCTTATTTAAGTGTGTTGAATAATGCTGCTAATTAAGACAAGTTGACTACTCAGCTCTTCTTTAAGTTTGTTGAATAAAGCTGCTAATTAATGTAGGTTATCTGTTCAGCTCTTCTTTAAGTTTATTGAATAAAGTTGCTAATTAAGGCAAGTTGACTACTCAGCTCTTCTTTAAGTTTGTTGAATAAAGCTGCTAATTAATGTAAGTTTTCCGTTCAGCTCTTCTTTAAGTTTGTTGAATAAAGCTGCTAATTAATGTAGGTTATCTGTTCAGCTCTTCTTTAAGTTTATTGAATAAAGCTGCTAATTAAGGCAAGTTGACTACTCAGCTCTTCTTTAAGTTTGTTGAATAAAGCTGCTAATTAATGTAGGTTATCTGTTCAGCTTTTGATTAAGTGTGCTAAATAAGCTGCTAATTAAGGTAAGTTGACTACTCAGCTCTTCTTTAAGTTTGTTGAATTAAAACTGTTAATTAAGGTAGGTTGTCCGTTCAGCTCTTCTTTAAGTTTATTGAATAAAGCTGCTAATTAAGACAAGTTGACTACTCAGCTCTTCTTTAAGTTTATTGAATAAAGCTACTAATTAATGTAAGTTTTCCGTTCAGCTCTTCTTTAAGTTTGTTGAATAAAGCTGCTAATTAATGTAGGTTATCCGTTCAGCTCTTCTTTAAGTTTGTTGAATAAAGCTGCTAATTAGTGTAGGTTATCTGTTCAGCTCTTCTTTAAGTTTGTTGAATAAAGCTGCTAATTAATGTAAGGTTTCCGTTCAGCTCTTATTCAACCAAGCAAGCGTCATTGGAACTAATAGATGTCGCAGCTACATATCGTCTTTGATCCAAATTTATAGTCGAGGAGAGAGAATGACGTCATACCTGAAGACGTGAGAAACGAAACAAGCAAGCGTCATTGGAACTAATAAATGTCGCAGCTTGTCAAGTGATAGTCGTATAAAACGTTATAGAATGACGACTATCTGAAGTGCCTGAAGAGCTTGAGACTCGACATATCGATTAGTTATCTGATGATGATTTACATAATCTAAGTTCTCCAGGCAGGTTTTTCATTTAGCTCTTCTTTCGATGTGTTTTCAATAAACGTTATGGGTGTCTGATGTTCGGAATAGAAACGTTACCTTAACATCAACAAATAGCGTGTTGAATGGACATGACTTGATACTACGAGTCGCCCACCTTTCTTATCAAATCCCACGTTTACATCACAGAGCCACGTATTGTACATATCTCGTACAAATAAAAACTGTTAAATAAGAAATAAAAGTAGAATTGCGGTGCTTAGGGAATTATGAAACTATTTTATTTTGACCTCGGTGAAAGAACCGCTGATCTGAGAAATGTGGTGCCTATATCTCATTTAATGTTAAACCATCTAATAAATTCGGGTCCTGGCATGGCCTGATGTTCGATTGGAAATCTGCGGATCGCGGGTTTGAATCTCGTCACCGAACACGCTCGCAATTCAGACATGGGAGTGTTAATACGACGATCAATCTCACTTTTCTTTGGCAAAGAGTAGTTCAAAAAGTGACGGTGGATGGTGTTGATTAGCTGCCTTCCCTCTGGTCTATCGCTTTTAAATTAGAGACGGCACGCTCAGATAGCCCTTGAATAGCTTCGCTCGAAACTTAACAAACAAACCATTAATTTATATAAAGTTTCAAAAATGGTAAAAACGTTCCATTTTGTAATAACTATTTTGACGTTTGGAGAAGCTTAAAGTTAAGAAACTAGTCTGTTTTAAACTCACTTTCTGCTTTTGAGTACATGTAATAGTTCATCACAATGATATATATATATAATTTAAATATAATAAAAATATTCCTAATTTACCTTTCACTAACAGCTGAGAAGTGTAACTGTCTACTCCTCCGGAGTTTTTCGCTATGCACGTGTAGTTTCCAATGTCACTTACATCTAAATCTTGGATTTTCAAAGTGCTTAGATCCTCGTGGGTGCGAAAATGTATCTTTTCATCATAAGCTATAAGTGTTTGTCCGTTTCTCTTCCACGAGAATATGACGGGTAAGGACCCCTCTGAAACAGCACAAGTCACACTAACCTGTGTATCAAATGTCACTGTCTTAGGGAAGTTGAACGGCTGGATTCGTGGAGTAACAGCTGGAAATGAAAGTAGAAAATAAATAAATTAAAATCAAACACGATAATATAAGAATACAGTTCCATAACAGATTAATACATACATGTCAAAAAAAAATTTTTCAAAAAAGAAAGTAAATATAGGGATGGCTAATATCAATACTTCAAAAACGATGCAAACAAGATAGTAGGGATGGTATTTGCATCATCCATACATAATATCACAGGACGCAGTGTAGCAGAATGTTCACAGACAAAAATAAGATAAATTAAACTCAATTGTGATTGAATAGTTATATATATTTCTGTATGTTAATTCTTGCCTGGAACGGTGCTTATCAAGACACACAGTATTGTGTCGTGCGGTAAAAACAACCTATTGGAAAGTAATGGGGCATTCCAGATTTCCAAACGCTCTGTTGTCATGCGCTCTTTCGGCGACCTCCCTAAACAATGAGCCACATGGTGTATCATCTCGATAACTTAATATGGAAAACAAGTTACTGTTATACCATGCTTTAGAGAAAAATCAAAGATCATATATGAAATAAAGATCATTTAAGTGGTTTGAAAAAAAAATGAATTGGTTTGATTTGTGTTTTTCGTTTTTCATGAAATACGAGTTCACAATAAAATAAATTGAGATATGTTGACATCTTTAGTTTCCTCTCAATTCACGTAACATCCTCTATTTAATTCAGAGAAATTTCTGATAATTTCCACTATAGAGCACATTTTACAATGAGCTATAGAATTGGCCCCTACAAATGCATGTTTTGGGGCCCCAGCTGGCTCCCTAAAAAGAAAAGTTAAGGGTGAGCCCTGTAGATACATGTATGAATACAGCTCCATATCAGATTAATATGTATATACATGTAGGAATACAGTTATATAGCAGATTAATATGTATATATGAATACAGTTCCTTAGCATATTAATAAACATATATATATACACATGTAGGAATACAGTTATATAGCAGATTAATATGTATATGTATGAATAAGTTCCTTAGCATATTAATAAACATATATATATACACATGTAGGAATACAGTTATATAGCAGATTAATATGTATATATGAATAAGTTCCTTAGCATATTAATAAACATATATATATACACATGTAGGAATACAGTTATATAGCAGATTAATATGTATATGTATGAATAAGTTCCTTAGCATATTAATAAACAT